TGTAATCAACTGATAGTGATTTTACTGATGATTGCACGCCTCGATCGTGGGCCGCGTTTCGTCATAAAAAGCAGGCATTTCACAGTCCGAAAAGGCCGCCAAGCGAGAAAGGTTTAAAGAAAGGTCGCACTTTGCCATCCCCCCGCCCCCCCTCCGATCGTGAAAACTGTTTTATGCGTCGGCTGGTTAGAGCATTGTGCCAACTTGTGTGCGAAACGTATTCCAGGCATTTATCCCCTGAACGACAACCGTGGCTCGTCCGCCCCCACCAAAAGGCTAATGTCTAGAAATGTCCTGAATGTACCTGTGGCAATGATAATTGAGTGGTGTGAGCAATGAGTGGTGTGATACGCACTGTCCAACATGGATTTTCGCGAGCTGTGCGCACCGTTATAGATAAAACAACTGTATTCGACCTTAGAGGTTAGCAACGAGCAGTTAAGATAGAGGTAGAGGTCAGCAGTAAGAATGCCACCAGATCCGCATGGTTCGAGGTGCGAGCGGTACACTTCAGAACGCTCCGCTTTAAAACGCTAGTTCCGTTAGACTGCAAATGATGTCTGCTATATGCCAAGGACTGTCTAGAAGCATGTCCAAGCAGCGCGCAGCCGGCTCGGCGGGGATCGGTTGGGCATAGAGACACGGGGATGGAGACGGCTTCTACTAATTAATAAAGCGTATTTCAATTTCTCCAGCCGGGCCAACGACAGCTGCAACTACCGTTCCATAGAAGCTGTGTTGACGAGGGGCGCCAGACTGTGAAATCGCCAACGAATGAGGATCGATCAATCAATTGTGGGAGTGTATGTCCAGGGTCATTTATCGTGACTCGCAAACAAAGAAGACAATGCCCTGGCCACACCGTTCTTTTGCAGGCATTGTTATGAGCGTTATTACGAGATATTGCTATGAGACATTGTTATGAGTAATGAACGTCAGCATGAACTTTGGACAGGTCAGCGAGGAAGTTAGTCAAAGGCAAGAATGTGTGGAGACGGATGACCAGAACGTATCGCTCAACGGATCTCGTAATCATTTTTTATAGTATACCATAACACCATGCGCTATCACATTCATTTTAATACTAAAAAACGCTATCAGCGAGTTATTCCCTGGCAATGGCGTGCAACGTAATGTCCTGCGTTATGTGATGTACCCCACCATACTCCGATTTCCCTAAAACTGCACTGGTTGTCCGCGAAAATATTCTACCGTTCTAAAAACCATGGCGGACGGACAGCTACATCTGCTTACATATAATTTACATAAAGAACAGCTTACATAATAGATGGAGCACGCGCAATGGGACGAAAATCTGCTGGATGTGCTGTACGGTTGCTGGGCTTCAACATCGACGCTATAATGGATTCACTTCACGGCGCCTGAAACTCACCCAGCATCTCATGATCGGTGGGAGGCCACCAACAGCGCCTCGACCGCCAACCCCAATCGTATTAACATGCCAGTATGGGTTAACTCCGGGCCTTTCGCCACGCTGCACAAGGAGTGGACAGCAGATTCAGCCCGGTCATCGTGATTGGTCTGTTATAAGATCTGTGGTCGGCAGTGGTCAAATCAGTGCGGATTTACCAAAGCTGCTGGTATGCTTCTAAATGGGAGAGACTGCTCTGGATAACACAATTTCTCTATTCAGTAAAAATGCTCCCCAATACGTCATTGTTGATTGCGTCATCGCACCTTGCACAACATCGATTAAGAGCCAATTGACGGCCGTTATATCTGAGAATAGCTCACGAACGCCAGAGTGGCTCACGAACGCCAGATATGAACCACTCAACAATTATGTCATTCACGGCTTCGACTGCAGCATGTGCTATGTCCGCGCGGGCAAGTGCCACCCGGGTTCGACACGTTGTCAACAAATACGATTGATGCTTTGTTTCGAACCCCACACGCGCACGACTCGGAATCTCGACGGCAACTGTATTTCTGTGCTGCCACACAATATAAACAAACTAAGGGCTACCAAATCCCTGCATCACTTTCCCTGTATGAAGGGAGGTGATGCAGATATATTGCATCCCATCACCTCCCCCCAAGACGCTTGCGGAAGAGGATGACGCGGGACGTCTAACATAGGCCCAATGTTGACACATGAGCGTGACTTAACGCCCGACTGAAAAGATAACTCTAGGCTGAACGAGCTCATGCTGCGGCAAAACAAGAAAACACACGAGGGCTGCCGGCTGACAAGTGGAGGGGGGGGGGGGGGTCGTCCACACACACGTGTATGTCGGGTCTGACCACCTGATTGACAGACGCTGTGGTTGGCGGCGGTCCTCGGCTCCCGCTGGGGCGGGGGCGGGGGCGGCGGTGACGCCACAGGCGCCGGGTCCGTGATGGGCGTGATGTCAGACGCAACGCGCGTCTGGTCGCCGGCCAGGCTGCTGGGCGGTGAGTCGGCGGTGACGTCTGGAGTTCCAGCCGTGCTCGACACCGGGTCTGACCACCAGACAGACAACCGCCGAGTGGGTCGAGGGATCGGAGCGGAGGTGGCGGCGACAACATAGGCACCAGCGCGGTGTTGGCGGGTGTGTCAGCCGCGGGTCGTGGCAGGCCGTCGGTCAAGCTGGGCGGCGCGCTGTCATTGGGGACCTCTGACTCGGCGGTCCTTGTCTCCGGCGTCATCGGGGCAGGTCAGGTGCTCACTGGGGACGGCGCCGGCGGCGCCATCATCTGGTCCATGCACTATGTGATTCTGACTGTCGCTGGTCGTCGCGTGTCCTCCTGACTGCCGGCGCTGGCGATCAGGGGTTGAAGCGGACGGAGAAACGGACGATTCGGCCAGAAGATGCGGCCGCTCGTAGCCGGACGAGGAAGTCACGCCGCAATCCGACGCCGGTGCCGGTGCCGGTGCTGGTCCCACAGATGAGAGGTCGGATCCCGGATGAGGACGCGCTGTCTGACCCGCAGAGGGCGGTAACGCCTCGCCGACTCGTCACACCGCTCTACGGAGCGCTCCAGAAGTTCTGCCGCCTTGGCATCACGGTCGTCCGCGGCCCCCTGCCAGCGTTAAGCAAACGCGCGGTGGCGCACCGGGACCGCTGAGCGCAGCGGGTGACCGTACAAGATCTGCGCTGGAGATCGGCCGTCCGCCCGCGGGGGTTTTTCTCAGCTCCAGCAGACCGGCTGTGAAGTCGTCCGCGTTCAGGTCTCCGCCGGCGGTGGTTTTTCTGCACGAGCCGTTGACGGCCTTGACGGTAGCCTCTGCGTGCCCGTTGGACTGCAGGTAGCGAGGTGTTGACTGTTGATGGTCCACACCCCCACCGGCAGAAGAACTCACGGGTGAGCCGGGCGCTGAACTGGGGCCCTCCGTCGGTCCTGATGTAGGCCGGTACGCTGGTGGTGGCGAACATGCCGCGTAGGCTGCTCAACAGGTCTCTGGCTGACGCCTCTCCGGTTACCCGTGACACGAATGGCCAGCCAGAGAGGCGGTCAACATAGACCAGGAAGGTCCGTCCGGCCCAGGCGAAGTAGTCCGCGGAGACGGCTTTGAACACTCGCGAGGGTGCCTTCTCTGTCATCATGTTTCTGCTGACTGGGCAGGTGCAGTTGACATTTGCTGCAGGCGCCGATGAAGTTCGTCATGTCCTGGCCCACCTGGGGCCAGTACACCGCTTGCCGTGCGCGCCTCTTGGTCCGCTCGACGTCCTGGGGGCTGGCGTGAAGTTTCTGAAGAGTGGCGTGACGGAGGCACTGCGGTATCACCAACCGCCGACCGCACACCACCAGGTCGTCATCCATCGCGAGACAGTTTCTGAGGCCACCGTAGGGGCCCAGCAGCGGGTCCAGCTGCGTCCGATGTTCTGGAAAACCGGTCGAGACGGCATCTTTCAGCGCGATCATCTCCGGGTCCTTCTCGGCGGCGGCGCGGAGTTCTGATAGCGCGACGTCCCGGAGAGGGCTGGCGCCACCGTCGGTGTTGGTGACGTCGCTGACGAGCCTGGAGACCATGCTGGCGATCTGGTTGCTGACGTCTTGTTCCGATTCCTCGTCATCAGGCACTGGGTCATCCACGGGCGCCCGAGACAGCGCGTCTGGGATGGCGTGCGGCTTTCCCTGCCGCCAGGTGGCGACGAAGTTGAACTGGTCGAGTCGCTCTCGGAGACGTTGCAAACGAGGGTTCTCGATGTCCGCCTTGCTTTTCGAGTTAAGAATGGGGATCAACGGCCGATGATCCGTCATCACCTCGAACTGCTGCATACCGCTGAGATATATGTGCTGCATTTTCGGCACGCCCACGCCAGGGCCAGCAGCTCGAGTTCAATCACCGCATAGCGTGACTCCGTCTCCGACAGGAACCGAGATCCGCACTGGATCAGGAGCCACCGGCCAGCCCTGTCCAGCTGACGGAGACAGAGACCGAGACCGCCGGCGCGGGCTGCGTCAGTCTCCAGCGCCGTCCGCCGCAGTGGATTGAAAAACTCCAGCACGGGAAGCGACAGCAGCACCATCTTCGCGGCGGCGAAAGCCTGATCGTGAGCCGGCGTCCATAGCCAGGCGTCCATAGCCAGGCGTCCATAGCCAGGCGTTCCGCGGCCGCAGCAGCTCACGGAGCGGCTCAGCAGCAGCGGCGACGTCAGAGCAGAAGGACCCCAGCTGGTTGACTGGGCCGAGGAATGATCTCAGGTCGGTGATGTTGCTGGGCTTCGGGAACGACTTGATGACTCGAATCTTCTTATCGTCAGTGGTGTAGCCAGTCGAGCTGATGTTGTAGCCGCAGAATTATAATTCCGCCTCCGCAAAGCAGCACTTTTCCGCTTTCAGGGTGATCCCATGCTCTTAACATCGCTGAAGTATTTGGCGCACGTGCGGCACATGGGCTTCGTACTCAGATTCATAGGCGAGCACATCATCCACCACTTTGCAGGTGTTCAGGATGTCTCCCAGGGTGGCATCGCCGCGCTGGTTGCAACATCGCCTGAGCTGACGATGCCCATCGGGACCCTCTTGTACCTGAACCTGTCCCACGGCGTGATTGAAGCAAGTCAGATCTTGATCCTCCTCTCTGATTGGGACCTGGTGGTAGCCGGCCTTGCCGTCCAGCTTGGTGAAGACGGCCGCGCCAGGCGTGATTGCCGCCACCGCGTCCTGCAGCGAGCGGACTGGGGGGACGGCTTCTTCACGAGTCGATTCAGCTCTCGTAAAATCGGCCGTGAGGCGGCAGCCTGACGCTGCACCATCTGGCGACCGCTTCGCCACCGGGACCGATGGGGGTGACACCACGGCGTGGGGTGCTCGACGGGCTCTATGATGTTCCTTGCTGAGGAGGTCGCCAAGCTGCTCTCTGACATCCTGTCTCCATGCAGAACGGAATGTTCCTCGCTGTCGATGCCGCATGGGGGACGGCGTCATCTGTCAGTCCGATTCGCATCGGCTCTCCCACCATATTCCGCAGAGGTGATTGGACGTCGAAGACGCGGGGAAAACTCAGCCTTCAGTGCTTCAAACCGATGTTTCCGTTCCTGTGCCGAGGGGGCGCCACCGGTGCTCTGCTGTGCCGGGGCGTCGCCGCCGGTTCTCTGCCGTGTCGGGGCGGCGCCGCCGGTCCAGCGAGGCTCTCCGACTGTGTTATGGGTGGTTCCACCCCTGTGTCTGAGGGCGAGCCAGCTTCTCCCTGCGTCAACGTAGTCTCTTGCGCGGCGTCGTGCGCCGCCGCCACTGACACCGTCGGCCCTGCCCCAGCACCGGTAACGCTGAAGCCGGCAGCGCCGCTGTCCGGGACAGACGTGTGTCCCGGGGCGTCGGTACCCGGCGGCCGGCGGAGAGCGCGCCACGGGCGGTGACACAGCGGTGACATTGCTGATCCGGCGTCGGCCGGCGCGGCGGGCCGCTGCTGACCTGTCAAGTCTGCGCCGGGAAGCTCGGAGGGAGTATGCCGAGCTCCATGCAGTCGTGCCAGGACAGCAGAGGGCTGTGCAGACCCGCGAATCTCGGACACATCCACTGTCCTGACGACGTCACCCAGCTGCAGTGTGACGCCGCCGGTGCCGACGCACTCCATTTCCCGGTTGTCGGCGTTCAGCAGACGTGTGACTGGTGGCTGGAGGTCCTCACCACGCAGGCCCATCTTTTCCGCGCTGCGAAGCGATAGGGCTGAAGTCTCAGCTCCTGTGTCCGGTGTCCAGTCCGTCTCCGACACGGCCGCCGTCCGCGCGGCGCAGCTGCAGGCGAACGCGTGGGGTCCGACGGGCCATGTGTCTTCGTCGCAGCACGTCGAGTGTGAAAACAGTGATTACATGTTATCACCAGCTTTAGGCTGAAGACATTTTGTCTCAGTGTTATCATCAAAGAAATGGAGTCTCTGCGGCGATCGGCGTCCTTGCCGGGTACTTGGCTCAAAAATGTATCAGGGTGCTATGACGTAACTGTCAGTAACGGCAGCCTGTTGTATCACTATCGTACTGTCAGGCTATAGTGGTCAGCCCAGGATGAACACCGTCATGAACACTGAACAAAATTGGGGGCTCGTCAACCACTACCGCTGGCTGACTGGTCGTGCCGATCCTCGCGATGCATACCAAAACGGGGCACCCAAGCGGTGACATGAAGAGTAGCTGATCACGGTCTTACGCTAGGTTGACGGCCCCCCTGTGGCTCGGCATCAAACGCGTTGAAGTTCTCCAATGGTGTTGTTCTTCCCTTCCACAACGCAGGGCTGCTGATGCCGCAGCTCCTGTGGCTGCTGATGTCACAGCTCACGTGGCTGGTAAGACCGCGCAAAACAACCCTCGTTTTGCGCAACGCGAAGACGTGGCGTTGGCAACGACAGCTGACAATAACAGATGAAGGAAAGAAGCCAGCTTCCTGCTGCTAGGAAGCGAAGCTCCCACCTCATCTGCGTGTTTGTCGTTCCGGAGCTGAGCTGGGAGACGCTGCCCAACCCCGACATGGTCTCGTGGACAGACAAACCACTCAGCCGCCAGAGATGGGACGCATGCCAGACTGCGCTATAAAAAGCGTCCGAGATCAACCGCTGGGCCAGCTGACTTGTCACGTTATTCCTGGATCTTTGAACGGTTGTGTTAACCCATCACGGAGTTGCGTGGTCCGGCACAAGCCGCAGAACAAGCTGAGTACAAATAAAGCCCTCTCGTTGATGCTAATGGTAAGGCAAGGGGGCGTAATAGCAGAGTGGTTAGGGCGTCATGTAAGGCCGCCGAATGGACGTAGTGGCCGAAGGGGCGTAATGACCGTAATAACCTTCGGATTTCACGTGGGAGACCCGAGTTGGACCCCCGGTCGTGCCATGGCCCCTGGATGCTAACATGCCCTCTGCATTCGCTGTGGTGATGACAGTGCGCCGTGTTTCGTTAATAAAAAAGATCGGGACAAAATGTCCTTACACTTCGAGTTGACATGATCCCAATCACAATTTTACCATATGTATGAATCTTCATATCGCTCCGAGCAAATGATCCCTTCATTAATACCCAAACGATTATGAGTGACCTTTTAAGTCTGCTTCAATATAAAAATGCATCGATTGGGACCCCACCACTGGCGTCGGATCTAGCAGGAATTGCAAGATCATGGCGATCCATGATACCAATATGAACTGCACAGACAATGGGACCAACGGAGCGCGACCTATAGTTACGTGTATAAATACATCCGGCACGGTTACTTTGAAAATGTGTTGGCTGTGCCATATACACCAATACGTCATTTTCTGCCTGCCGATTTCATCCCAAGGAACCAAATCTTAAAGTACTGCGAACGTGAAATGATGAATAGGTATATATATAACGATGTAGCAAGAATACCTCAGGATCAATCAGTTACGTCCATTATGATAGTCATGGTGACCAGCCATGGGTTTCCCTATGTGTCGTATCGTCGTGCATTTCAGATTATGCACCAACCTTTGTCCTTCTCTAGTAACGCCGGCATGGGAAAGCTAATATCTCTATCGGGTCAGATCCAGCGTGACTTTTGATGACCCTCTTTGGTGATTTTTCGAATCCGCCTCTGCCTGCAGCGTCGTCATCGCCACCCTTTCCGCGCGATAGGTGTCACCTGAGTTTATGTACCGGCTGCAACGGCACCGTATCATCGGGAGACCTCAGAGCCTAACCATCAGAGACCATCAGAGACCTCAGAGCCTTATCATCAGAGACCATCAGAGACCTCAGAGCCTGACCATCAGAGACCATCAGAGACCTCAGAGCCTACCGCACACCGCAGGGCTTCCTTTAGGGCCATGCCGCCCAGATCTGCACTTGCCAAATGAACGCTAAGCTTTTGTTCCATCTTATTTGAAAGATATGGGTAAAGTTTTGCCTGTCTATGACCTTACATCTTCTAGGAGAAGTATGTTCTACACCACCCAAGACCACAAACTTCTCGCGGATCTACGCCGTACGGTGGTAAGGTCTACCGATGGAGACTTATCTGCCAGGGTAGGGCAGGTGCGCATGAAGATTTCAGGGCAAACTTCATACGTATCTAGAAAACAACCTGATGAGTGTTTTTAAAATTTTAGTGCTAAGGTCTGGTTCCGGGTGAAGATTCCACCCGATAACACAACTACGTCGTGAAGTAGCAGCACCCTAAGCGGTCGTCTGAGACCTGCCACCAGAAATGGTTTACCAACTGTGGATTTGATGAGCTGGGGTCCAGTGCCCACGGCTGTCGCGATGGCAGAGTAAAACGGACCTTAGTCTATGTGTTTACAAGGCAGTGTGACTGCTGTAGTAATCCCTCACAGTGTCTGTCACGAACAAACGTGAGGTTATATCGACTATCCCCAAGACGTATGGTGAGCGGTGACCAAAATAAGCCACCACCAAATTCAGACAGTCCGTCCACTATCTCACCTTCGGTACCACCTCTTAAATCAGAGCGGTTGATAATTCTCCTGGCCGAGTGTTCGGTTTTGTCCTTTTCCACCGCTAAGTGCAGCGGCACATCTCGCGGCCCCTGCACCTGTCGCACACAGCACACAAAGCGATGGGCACTCATCGCCCGCTGCGCATCCTTAGCGTCTTTGAACTCCGCGCCCTCGGCTCCCATCTTAGTTTATAGCAGTGAATCACAGCACGAAACCGCCGCATCTGTAGCATCTCTGAAAGGGCAAAAAGGTCTCAGAGGCCTCCCATACGGAGGCGAAAGCGATCCACGGACAGCTGTGGCGGTCGGGCGGGCGGTGTGGCAGTCACTCACGGTCAGGTGTGGCAGTGGAGACGCCACCCTCACGGTCGGGTGCAGCGCTGGAGACGCCTCCC